TAAAGTGAATTAATGATAATTTGTTTTCAGTCTTGACATTGCTGTTAAACTGCTCATCCGTGTAATATTTGCAGTTATTTTCAAGGTTCTTGAAAAAGTTTTCTTCAGGGTCAAAGCCTTCGTCCATTTCAGTGTCTCCAATTGTGTTCAGTTCCAGATCCCGTCCCTCAACATCTATTAAATTCTGCAGTAAATCACTGGCCTCATATCGTCCATTAGTCATGCTGGTTGTTGATGGTTCGACAGCTCATCTACCATCACGGATAACAGTAAGCTTCTTCAGACATGAGAGGGTCCCGCCTCCCCATCATACTGTCCTTGTCTCGGCGTGCTGTTCCTTGGTCCGAAGTCTTGGTTCCGTGGTCTGGTCACCAATTTATCGTATCGCAGAAACGCGATATCTCCTCTCGCCCTAGCCTCTCTTAACCTCGGCATCAGCGCCTGTCTTCTCTTCCTCACACCCTCGGGGAAATCTTCATTGATGTAAATCTTGGTTCCCTTCAGCTTCCTGGCTCGTTGCAGAATAGTTATCTTGTCTTTCTCGTTCTTCAACTTAACCATGATCCCCCTTGGACCCCGTTCGGTCAATTTCCCCAGTTTCCCTTTAGATGGTTTGTTATGGCTCTAAGCAAACTTTTACTCATAAATATATAATGTGACAGTGCACTCTCATCGGCTAATGGCTGGTTTTAACAGTGTTGAAACTCAGATATTATCTTTCTGTATACAGGGATTGTGGCTTGGCTGGTTGTGTGTACAGAAATGGGATTTTTATGTGACCCTGTGGAGCTCTGATACAGGAAATGACACTGTTAATGTGTTGGTTGATTAGTGAGAAGTGATGAATCCGTTATTGAGGCTGCATATTCAGAATGTGGACCGTCGATTTTTTACTGTCACTGGGCTGAGCTGATACCGATGTTGTGAACAGGCCTTTTGTAACATTAGTTCCAACCAGTCAGTGCACAGTGAGTACAGCTTTATAAGTACAACATGATTCCATTAGAATGGCAGAAAACAGAGATGTAAAGAGTAACAGTGTGAAGGACACCTCACTGCCCCTATCCGCCTTGTGGCAAAGGCATGTAAACTAGGACCAGTCTCATAAGGGAGTTTCTGATAACCAGAATGAAAGTCACAGACCAATGCCAAGGGCCCTTTTCCCTGTTTGGCACGCACTTCCTGGGCTTCAGCCAAAATCATAACAACAAACAAACAAACAAACAAAAAAGAGCAACTTATTTGAAATGAGAGAAAGAAAAGTATGGAAAGTCAGAAGTGTATTATCAAAATGAAGCAACGAATTTTGAGACACTACAGTATAAGAAAGCAAAAGCTAAGTTGCTAGAATATTTTGCCGCACCCACAGTTGTTGAGTTTTAGTCTGTACCAACATCCCAATTTAAATATCTACAGAAAACAGTACGCCTTCAGCTTTATTTGTATAGTGCCAAATCACAACAAAAAAATCATCCCAGGGTACTTTGTGGCCATTTGGCCAAAATCCTTATGTACATGCACACTAAAGACATAGCGGTGTAGAAAATCACTATTTAAACAGATTAAATAAGGATAAAATAAACCCAGTGTAAGGATGACAAGAATTAGTATTAAAGTAGCATTTTCTATAGCAAACTATTTAGTGTATCCTTTAACTGAACTAGGGCCCTGCAAACACACAGGACGACAAGGGAACACACCAGATAAAAACTGAGTCATTTGATAGAAACCTCCAGTCCACAAGGACAGAGCTTACCAGTGTGTTAGCCTGACAACACTGAGGTGTAATAGAAGCATGAAATGGGAGAAGGACGGGAGTGAAGGATGCAGTAAAGACATGGGTAGGTGGTACGGGTAAAGCACCCAGCCCGTGTCTGACTCAGAGACCCTCCTGAGTAAGGCTGACTCAGCCTTACAGTACTGGCTGCATGTGGCAGTGGTTACCACCCACCCCTCCCCCATTTCACTTGATACCCTCCTTCACTCTCTCACTCTCTTCACCTCTATCTCTGCAGTACCTCTCTTGCTCATTTCTCCCTGTGCCAGCTAGGGAGGCGAGCACTTTCTGCTTTTCAGCCTGGCTGCTGGCTCTGCTCCAGCATCCCTCCGTGCTTCTCGTCCCCCATTCTGCCTATGTCTCCCCTTATGGGGTTTGCTGGCCAGCCTGCTTCCTTGGCTGTTGCTTCTTCTGCGGGAGCAGTGGAGCTGTTTAACACTACCGCCCTTCCTCGCCTCCCTCGCACTCTGCTTTGCTGGATAATCACCAGTGAGTCTCCTAGAGACAGTGACAGAGGGTAGGAAGGGAGAGAGGCAGAGAGACAGAGAGCCTGTACCTTCCATTCAACTGCTGCATTCTTCAGTCTTTTCCTCTGCTTTCCTAAGCTGCTGGAGTACAGGGCAGGAAACAACTAGACAGGAGAAAGCTCTCTAAAGGAATTTATCCTCCACTCTTTGTGTTGCCAACTCCCATTCATTGCTGGGACAGAGTGCAGAGGAGGAGAGACGAGGGAGGGACTGAGAACAGGACTTCAGACTCTGCCTTCAGCTGTACAGCTCAGTGTATGAGACAAATACACAGAGAGACACACATATTTGCAGATTAGACGCAGCTCAAGCTAACCAGACAGGGGGACAGACTGACAAAGTCACATTCTATACATACACAGAAAAACACAGACAGACAGACAGGGGGTGTCATGGCATCAGTGGACAGCACCAGTTCGAGTGTCCCTGGGCGGCTGAGATCAGGGGATCTTCTCCATGCTGGTCTGGCAGTTGTACTGCTGCTCGGTGAGTTTGATTTCGCTCTCTACCTTTCGCCTACCAACTGCACTATAGCTCTATATTACACCATGCATTGTACTTCTATCCCTCTGTTAACTACCTTCATGCCAGCCTGTGATTCGGGCAGTTCCTCATTTAAACTTGCTTCTATACCCTGTACACCTTACTCTTTTGCTCCCTTTGTCTCAGTGTATTTATTTATTTTTTCCCAGTCTGGGTTCACTGCTGTCACAATAAATCCATACCTTGTTTTATTACAACATACCAACATGTGCTGCTCTCTACTTCAGCTCTCCAGCCTCATCATTCACCCGTCACACCTGAAGGCTAAAATGTATGGTGATGTCACAGGTGATTAGGGTTGCAATGGTATGACATTTTCACCGTATCAGAAAATATCACGGCTTCACAGTATTACACAATTACTATTATCAGTTACAACGACCCTCAAAGGAATGAAAACAGAGGGGTCCTTCTTTCTTGGCTTTTTGTATTAATTGCAAATGAATGAGACAGTCGATTGAGCTGGATTGCAGCACTAGATTGACAACAAAGAATAAGAAATTACAAACATGATTCTTAAAAAATGCATGCAACTGTAATAACATATAAAGAATATTAGTTTGCATGTTGCAGTAGTAGAGGGAGTATTCACATCCTTGACTGAAGTACTAATATCACAATGTAAAAATAGCCTAACATGTAAGAGTCCTACATTGAAACTTATCATGAAACGGTGCCAGTGCCACCGGTGCCAGAGTCAAAATGTGATGTTTGTCAGTATTAATGTATGAAATACTCTGACAAATTGTTGCCTTAAATACAACTTTTTTTCTTGCTTTATAATAATAATGTACAGTTCAGAAAATTACTTTCTACACATGTGAAAAACGCCACCCCTCCCTGAGTTTGTGCCCCAGCCTGGCCACCCCATCTAGATTCGCCCCTGAGTGCAAGTAGTTTTGTAAACCAAAGGTTAGTGAACAGACGATGTGTAAAATTATTTCAAAAATGAATTATATGACCGGTGTTTATATGACCACATATTAAAGTAATAAAGGGGTCACATAGGCTACTCTGATCATTTTGGGGGCAATGGAGATTGGTGCATCAGCCTCCTTCTCTTGTCATTTGTCCGTTGTATGTGTGATTGTCGACATCTATTGTGGAGTCTGACAGGCAGTTGGGGAAGAAAAGTGAGCACGCACTGTGTTTTTCCTTTCAATACTGGTGATAAGTAAATGTGCATGGTATACCGTGAACCCAGGATACCACTGCAACCCAACAGGTGATGTTTAGTTGTTGCTGTGCTGAGGGCATAAAGGTCAATAACATTCAACCTTTAGCTGATCTGAGTTTGGTCATGTTAGCTGTCTGGGTTCTGAGCTGGTGATGTGCTGAATGATTCTTTATGGAGGTACCATTTTCAAGGGAAAGTGAACAAAAGTGAAAGAATCAAACACAGAAAAACTTTTGGTGTTAGAGTACATAAAAACATGTTTGTTATATTTACAGTTCTCATTCTACATGCGTGTGAGTAGGCTATGTGTGGTTGTAGTAGTACTGGTAGTGACACAGTGGTGCAGTGGTGATCTGTGCTGATCCCTGGTGATGTTGTTGTAGCTACCAATAGTGTCCCCACACCACAACATGTCCTTTAGCTCTGAGTTGTTGAAAGTGTCGTGGCAAGAGTGTGATACCGACTAAATTAATTCAGACAAACCATTACAATTTAAAGGGTCATTTAATATTACAATTATTCTGAATAGAGTAGTATTTAAACAGATAATCTTGTAGTTAGGGAACAGAGAACAGAGATCAGAGAACAGAGACTCTCCTCCTGCAATGTGATAGATAAAACCTAAAGATTGTCAGAGCACCCATCAGTCAGGTCATTTATTGTCAGTCCCGAGTCAGTCAGCATCTCCCCCAGCCGGCTGGGTCCCCAAAAGGTACCTCGTCTACTGTTTACTGCAGCATAGTCATCTTCTCTCTTTCTCTCTCAGGCTCACTCCTTTTTATCAGCTACATAGCTACTCCCCAACAGCTGGATTCTGTCCGTCTTGAGGTCTGTCGGGTCCCCCTTCTCACTCCATTCTGGGAATTCTATACAGCCTTCCTGGAAACCAGGAAGCCTGACCTAATGTTCCTGCAAAGATCCTCACAAAAGAACAGGGAGTTTATCTCTGACAATACTTAGGATCTAACTAGAATTCTTAGAACTATGCTAATAAGTTTCAACTGACCAATAGACTTACAGTATAGGCTAGCACCTGGCAAGTGGAGAGTTTTGTCGTGGCCAGAGTGAGATACCGACTAAATTAATTCAGACAAACCATTACAATTTAAAGGGTCATTTAATATTACAATTATTCTGAATAGAGTAGTATTTAAACAGATAATCTTGTAGTTAGGGAACAGAGAACAGAGATCAGAGAACAGAGACTCTCCTCCTGCAATGTGATAGATAAAACCTAAAGATTGTCAGCGCACCCATCAGTCAGGTCATTTATTGTCAGTCCCGAGTCAGTCAGCATCTCCCCCAGCCGGCTGGGTCCCCAAAAGGTACCTCGTCTACTGTTTACTGCAGCATAGTCATCTTCTCTCTTTCTCTCTCAGGCTCACTCCTTTTTATCAGCTACATAGCTACTCCCCAACAGCTGGATTCTGTCCGTCTTGACATCTATCGGGCCCCACTTCTCACTCCATTCTGACAATTCTCTACAGCCTTCCTGGAAACCAGGAAGCCTGACCTAATGTTCCTGCAAAGATCCTCACAAAAGAACAGGGAGTTTATCTCTGACAATATTTAGGATCTAACTAGAATTCTTAGAACTATGCTAATAAGTTTCAACTATCCAAAGTTTGCTCTGAGATGTACTTTGAAAACAGGCAACATCTTGGCCACTTACATAAGCCCATTGTCCAACTCACATGAACCCATAACCACTCAGCTCAAACAAGTACAAATAATAAAATAAGTACAAATAATGTCTATATGTGAAGTACATACTGTTCTATTACATATTTCTTCTGGAATCTGGTTTATTTTTAACCACTACAGTAGTGTACAGTAGAGGACACTGAGTTGTCCCTCCTCTGACCAGCTGCTACAAAAGTCAGCATGATGCACAGTTGAGCTTTACAGCACAAAAAAAGATCACAAGATGGAGAACTTCATTTCGGTGCCATCCTTAGGTGAACTATATAATAATGCATACTGATTTTTAGGTCCATTATGTTGTCCAACCAAGACATTAAGAAAAAAGTTATACCCCACATCAAAGAAAAGGACTTCAGACAAATCAAACTCAGTAATGTTGCATTGTGGTCAAGCCAAGGCCCAAATAACAGACTCTTTACTCCCTTTTCAGGAGTAAATCATTCTTTTTCCACATACATTCTGTTACTGCTGCCACCCCAGTCTTAATATTAATACAGCATTTTTCCAAAACAAACATACAAGGAGTACAAAGATAAGACAGGCATGACAGCAAGTTCTTACACAAGTTTCTTGCAGTTCTTTGTTTTGACCATTAATTACCATGTTCGTAATGATGCCATAAAGAATTCTCATCACTTTTCAAGACCCGTTATCCTTGATGTCAATGGATGGCAACACTGTCAATCTCCACTCTCCAACAGAACAGAATACCCAACATCAATCTAGATTTTATTTATACTTTGCAATGTTCTAGCATATAGTCATCTTAATACAGCACATGGTTATTTATATGTATATGTGCTTTGCTTGTGTTGAAGTTTCATCCCTGTATAGAAATACTGTTGCACAGAAAAACTGCTTCTCTTCTTGAAATGTTTTCCTACATTCTTATAATCTTTGCAAATACATTTCAGCAATCTCTCTCAACCACACCCTCTGGCAACAGAAAATGAAGCAGGGGAAAACACAAAAGGAACAAAATCCAATTAAAGTCCGTTGTGGAATGAAAGGAAGCCTACAACTAATTCCAGGAGACAGTCTGACAGTAACTGTTGATACAGCAATCAGAGATATGATATGTGAAGCATGACAGTAACCTGTTGTCACATCTGTCCAATCCCAAGACTATGTCCTTGGAACTATATTATTCATCATCAGACTGTCACTCATTCACCGAGATGCCTATAAGACCCCAAAAGGAGACCACAGACGAGACTCAGAAGACTAATTTCATGGACCAAAGAGCCTTCTAAGGAAACTAAGATCTGTAAACCAAAAGGATCTAAGACATGCCAGAGCAAACACAGTTATCAGCAACATTATATCAGTAGTTAGTGTCCATGTGGTAAGTATACCATCTGTTGTTACTTGTGTGGACAGCCAGCCTCAGATTTACTTGGGTGGAGGAGAAAGGAGGAGCACAACCCACAACCACTGCATGACAAATGGGTCAAGAACCTCTCTGACAGAGAACTTACAGACACGGAAAAAGCGGTATTGGCCAAGGGATTGAATTTTGCTGTCACACCCAAACAAATCCCTGTGGTAGACTTCATCACAGCCACAGAGACTGCCATTAGGAACAACAAGCTGGCCGAGACAGAGGCGGAAGAATTGAGGATGAAGGTCACAGCTGCTCTGACCAGTGCCAAGCTCCCACCCCCAAACCTAACCCTTGAGGAAAGGAGGGCCTTAGCTACACTAGAGAAGGATGAAAACATCACAATCCTTCCAGCGGACAAAGGCAGGTGCACAGTAGTCCTAAACTCAGCTGACTATCAGACCAGAGTTTCCGACCTCCTCAGTGACACCACCACCTATGAGGCATTGAAGAGGGACCCCACCAGTGGCTACAGGAAGAAAGTTATAGACTGTTTACAGAAGCTGGAAAAGGAGGG